AATTGAGAATGGAGTCATGTCTCCAAGTAAATCGTGGAAGGTATGACTGGCATCCCGCGACCACATGCAGAAGGGTTTCAGGGTTTTTTTTTTTTTGTTTTTTTTTATAATAATAATAATAATAATGGAAACTTTATTTATTGATTATTAGGATATATACAACTACAATGATAAACCTCGCTTTACAGGTAGTTTATCAATGTCTACTTGAATTGATACTATATATTTATTGTACAATAATTATTTTAAGAAGGATTATATTAACATTAATTTTGGGTTATCCCACACTTTGTTTCGTTTACAAAATACATAATATGATGTTCGTATGCATATGTTCACGATTTGCTTTTTTATGTATTTACTATACTTGGCATCACATTTAAGGCTACTTAGCATGCCATCGAAATTTTCACAAGTTCGGCCAAAAACTCCGAGGGTACTCAAGGATAAATTGACGAACTTGACTTTATCATAATCTGCTTCCTGCTCATTGATTAGATCACGGTACTTTTGACGCTTACGATTGGCGTTAACTAGCAGATTGGATTCATAACCGACTGTAAGCTCGAGGATGTATAGACATCTGTTTTCAGTCACCAGCAGAAGGTCAGGTCGTAAACGATCTCCCGTGATAACAGATGGATTCATAAAACCAGGAATGTCCGCGTAAATTGTGGAATTTTTCACAGCAGTAAGAGTGCATGCGAGGAAATTTAAAACAGAATCGTGTCGCCATGTAAATCGGCCTTCGTCTAAATATGTCTTACATCCAGCAATCACATGTAGCAGCGTTTCAGGTGAGGAGCAGAAAGAGCAATCGGATGTTGATGATAGTCCCCATTTTGATAGGTTCTTTCGTGTTGGAAGTGTGTTATTGATATATCGGATGGTGAAGTTAAAAATGTTTTTCGGAAGTTTGCTCTGAACGGATGACCATAAAGAGTTGAATGTGGATGTGGAATGATTCATGATACTGGAAAAGAAAGAACCTTGCGAAATGAGGTGGTTTTGAAGTCTTTGTTCGTTTTCTTTTCTAACTGCCTTAAGTACGTCTAATAATAATAATAATAATAATAATAATAATAATAACAGTAATACTAATAATAATAATAATAATAATAATAATAAACTCGTTACTAGTTCATTGCATCACACATCGATCAGCGCGCCTACTGCCGTTTCAGCGCCCTATATATTAGCGCCCTGTATGCGCATGTAAATTTGCGCTACAGAAATGTTAATCGTAATTGTATGTATCACGAATAAATGACAAATAAAATTGCAACGTAACTGAATTGAGCATGAATACCACCTAAGTTAACCTAAGAATGGTTAAGTTAAGGACTCTGTTAACAGCGAAGCATGAATTTATGACCAAACATGGCCGTTGAAGAAATCTGCCAGCGGTATTTTAGCTTGCGCAAGATGCCCAGCTGTTCCGCCCTGGCAATACGTCAGTGCTTGCACATTTAAAATTTCTATTAAATTTCCATATATTTAACAAGTATTCCATAAATCACCAATGCTATCTCAAAATATCACACTTTATCCCACACATGTTTCAACGCATGAAATTTGGGCCATGGGAAGGGCCTGGGGCAAATTTTAAACTTGGGATAAAAAAAGGATAAGATTGATAAGAAGGTGATAAGAACATGCAGCGCACAAATGTATATTGATAATATTATTATATGCAGCTTTAACAATATTTTCTGGATATTGAAATTTCCTTGGAATTTCTATCATTTGTCTAGTTCCACAAAAGTTCCAGTTCACTTCAAAAAATCTATAAAATATGAAAATGTCCATAGACGTGGAAGCACTGAATTGATTGTCAACCAGTGAACTCTATGTTGCCAACTTGGTGCCAAAATGGCGCCAAAAACACAACTGAAAAGGATTTTAGTCGTTTGAAATGTTTAAAAACATCACAAAATGTCGTAAATAAAACAAGAAATTCAGGAAAACTTATCTAATAATTCTTGTGTATTTTTGAGCTTTAATATCTCAAATACAAGGCAGGTTGCCAAGTTTCCGGCTGTGGCTGTAGAAAGTATTTACTTGTATGCATGCATGCTAAAATATTCATCTCGCCTTTCTGCCCGGAACGCGAGTTCACGGGACTCACGCGGGAAAACCAAATTAAACTTCTTAATAGCCATACAATATTACAATTTCGAGTGTTTATAGTAATTAAATGCTATGTGTACAGGCATAGCGGTGTCAAGACGTTCGCTATATGGAAGTGAATTAGGATTTTTGTTCAACTTTTGCATCTTTTACTGATCCAAGAAAAACACTGAAATATCCATTTTGCTTTTGAAAGCGTTGTTGCAGTGGATCATTTGGCAGGACATTGCATGGATTTGGTTTATTTTCACTTTACTAGTTTTAGACCTTATAGGCTTAGTACAGCATCATGCATAATTTATTAACCGTGGGCAGTTAAGGAAAAACTCATTTCATCGTAGTTTGCCAGCACCTGCTTAGGGCATTTCGTATTCTTCTGATGAGTGATATTACCTGATGGATGCAATAATTAAAATTAACTTGAAAGAGAGAAAGTCACGATTTTTGGTAAGCTGCCTTTTCTTACACTTTTAATTTTTAAACGTATATAAGCCATAAAACTTGTACAAATTAAACGTTTGTTTGAAGACAGAAGAATGTACTAATTAGAAGCTTGTTAATGCTTTCTCTTGTCGTTGTTCACATGCAATTGTAACTATATATACACAGCCGTCCGACAAAGATATGTCAAAGTCCTGAGTATATAATTGCTGGGACCTTTCTTTCTACGTTGGTTTCTAGTAACTTTTATACCGATTAATTTCTCTCCTTAATCGTAACTAATACGAACGAATGAACAACCGGGTTTTTTCTTATTAACATACACAAAAGTTTGATAATTACACTGGCCATAATCATTATACATATAGCTAAATCGTATACATAAAATATTGCAAAACGGTTCGGAGCTACAATTTGGTTTTAAAGTATATGGAATTAGGTGTAGTAATTTCAAACGCAGGAATTACCCTGACCAGACTTTAACAGAACTTATAAACAAAGTAAGTCGCAACGATTGCGATATTTTTAATAACTGAAACAATTTCAAAATTAAACAAGGTTTTAGCTATTCATATATAATGCCGAAAAAAGAAACTTTTCCCTAATTTGCGTGCATGCAATTAGTATACCTTTATTTCCCCGTTAGATTATTAGATTAATAAATATATCATTTAGTGTTGTTAGGCTACTGTAAAACAACATTGCATAATAAATAATGTCTTTTGACTGGCTAATCAGCATGTCGTCTTATATATGTTCTACAAGTGTTAGAGAACTAGTATGTTCGATGTTGAATTAATATAATTATAAACGAGTATGTTTATGACATTCAGTGTATGGTTCGTAATCAGTTCCAGTCTTCAAATGAAAACGAATGAAAGTAGCTTAAACTTCTTGAATTAATATATTCCTCTAAATTTTTCTTCGTTCGCTTTCAACTCACACGAGGCGTGCAATGAACCCGTACATGCGCCGTGCCGGGGGGGTCGGCACGAAGCTTTAGGAAGATGTTCTGTGATTTGTTGATTATGACAATGACAAAAGAATAAGCTATAGAATGGATTTTCTAAAGAACGAAACAAGAACAATATTCCTTTTGTTTATGTAAGCCAATTACGTCTTTTGTCATTGTCATAATCAACCAGTCACAGAACATCTTCCTAGAGCTTCGTGTTTACTGTGCCGGGGGCGTAGGAACGGGGGGGGCAAGTGCCCTTTTTCCGGGAGCAAGGTGCCCTTTTTTCCGTGAAAAATTTTCCTTAAGATTGCACTTTTTGCTCCTTTCGAAAGGGGAAAAACTTGAATCTATGACTATGTTATTTCCGGAAAAAATTTTTTATTTCCGAGAAAAATATCATATATCCGGAAAATTTTTTCGTATTTAGGAAAAAATGTGGTATATCCGGAAATTTTTTTTTGCTGTTCGAAAATTTTTTTTGAGATAACCCCCCCCCCCATGCCCTTTTTTTTCGTAAAGTGCCCCTCAAAGCCACACCCCCCATCCCCAACTTTTAGAAGCTTCCTACGCCCTGCGCCGTGCTATCTCATTCATGGGATCTCCTGACTCGGTGTTCGGTGGCATGCATGCATGTGATAGAATGAAAAAAGACAGCATACAATTTCAAAGTATGCATGCATGTTTATTGACCACCGTTTTTAATATATAGGCCTATTAAAATTTTTAAATAAAACTGATTTGCATGCGAGAATTTGAAATCATTTTATTTCAAACTCAAAGTTATCGATAACGGTTAAGTTTTATAGTTTTATAAACATTATGGGAAGCGTTTGTGGTTGAATTTTACATTAAATTGAAGTTTATATTACGTCTAATAACATACCAAACATGTATATATGTTTGGGAAATTGATAGTTTTGTAGTTAAAAGTGATCTTTTTAGGGGATTTTTCAATTATAAAAATATTCTTAAAAAACTATCATGTTACCATGATAGTTTTATAATTCATGTTAGGAAAATATAATGGTTTTGTCAGCAAGGTGAAGGTTTCTGCATGCATATATTTTCTAGTCGCGGACGCGTGAATATAAGGTTCATCGTGCGTGGGTGGTCATCCACACTGACCTCAACAATATAGTTCTTTGGCAGGAATGAAGGAAGCAAAGATGATATATATAACGTTTCATACAATGAGCTAGTTCCAAGCAATTTTTCTTGGAAGAATTGAGAAGAATTGATTTACTATGGGAAATAGGGCAAGTTTGCTTTGAATGTTTAATCAGTGTTGCTTTAATTTCTTGCTTAAGGCTAAAACATTTACTGCTTTCCTTTAAAATATAGCCGTACGTAAGTTTCTGCAGAGTCAATAGAAGGCGAGGGACTGGTCTGGAAACTGTTTATTCAGGCCAATTAAAACTCGGTCAAAAGAAAAACACGGGTCACGTGACTAAAGTAGGTGCACATATTTGCAATGCAAATTTACGCAAGCACATCAACAAATTTCAGTGGCGAAGGGGATTTGTTAGATTTTGTCGATAAATTACTTGGTAGTAATAGCAATATAATCGAAGAAGTCGCAGAAGAAAATGATATTGCAATCGAAGAGGTAAGAATGTAAATTATTTTATTGTTTTAGTATTTCTACTACGCATTTATTAATAGTACTTTAATAGTGAAATGCAATCCCAAATCTATCAATTTTTATATAAAAAGATAAAATATTGCTAGATAATAATGATTTTATCTAACTGGTTAAACAATGATAGCGATAGTTTAATACAGTGTGCAGCTTCTGATACGTACTGTATTAAAAATATAGTATTTGAATAATTGTATATGATAATTGTTTTAATATTGTTTTAGTTCACAAATGAAGCAAAGTATTCTTGTGCTATTTGTCACAAGAAATACAAAACAAAAACTTGGCTCGTGAAGCACACAGAATCTAAACACCAACAAAATGGCGCAGAGACACAACTCAGAACGAAGCTGGAAGTAGAGATTATCTTCAAGCTGTTAATGGAAGCCCAAAAAAATATTTCAAAAGATGAATGCTATTCAACTCTAATTCGTAGTACTGTTGAGAATTACATTTTTGTTGATAAAACTGAACTACTTACCAATGAAATTCAGAAACAACTGTACAGTTCACTGTGTTCAAATTCAGATGCAGAAAAATTTTATTCACAGTTTTATCAGTTAATTGTCATGGATGCGAAAAAGTATTTTAATTCCTTGGATTTTCCTATGTGCACGCTCCTTGCAACACGGCTTGGAGACAAGATACTAGCCCATTACAGCAGTCAGCAGAATATAAAATTGTTATTAAACCTGTAACTGAAAGAGACATGCAAGCACTTCAGTATTTATCTGGATATGTCATTCATTCTTTGGTAAGAAAGATCCACAAATTCACAAATTGGAGATCAACTAATGCACAAGATTTATTGACTTTGCTATATGCTGCAAAGAGTGATGATGTTTCATCTCAGAAACTGATAAGTTGTCAGACAAGGGGTGGTCTCTGGGCTGTTACAGCTGAGTGTCTCCAGGTATTCAAAATTGTGGAAGAAGAATTCCGCAAAAAAACCAGTGCAGTTCATGTAACAAAAATTGATAGCAGCAAAATTTCCGAGGCCCTTCTTCAACGAATTGACATGGTTAGTGCCTATGATAGTATGACACATGGATTTACAACTACCATCTCCAAAGAAACTAGATTTTGTCTGCTTGACAAAACTATTAAACTTTTCTTGCGAGTTAGGGCATTTTCATATGTAAAGGATAAAACCAAACTGCAAGCATGCAAAAATAAAGCCCTGCGCAAAGACATTAAGAAAAGGTCTGAGAACAATGCAGAAACCCACTAAATATTGAAGTAAATACAATGTATGTCTACCCAAATTATATGTATTGTTATATTGTTAAAATAAACAAAACTAACCCAAAGTACCTTTGGTTGTATGATACTATAGAAGGGAGTGAATAGGGACACCCAAAGTAATTTGACCCTATGGAAATGAATTGGAAACACAATTTTACTTACATAATAGTTTGCAATATATCATGCACTCCTAAACCGATTTGTTTTTTTGCCTTCTTTTCAAAGGAGTTTCATCAACATCTGTCCATGAAAGCTTTCTCTTCTTATCATGTCTTCCTTCTGTAGTCCCAGTGACTGGGGCTACAGATCTCTGAGTGCGTATTATGTTATCATTAAACCCGAATTGCCAAATGTTTGGGTTGTCACTGCGGCGGCCTAAGCTGCGTTGCCGTCCAAAATATTCTTCTACAACATCCTGGTTGAAGCGATTTGTTAGAACAAAGGTCATCCCTAAGATCCCTTTACTAAGTAGAAACTTAGTAACCTCGATCACAGAGTAAACTGTCATCTGCAAACCTTCATAAGTCTGCAATGACAGAAACATTTTCTGTCTGTCAGTAGGGCTGAAATTACCTGGTCTGTCTTCAGTGCTCTTTTTCCAGTCTTCTGAGTACTTTAGAAAAGTATTCTCAAGCCATTTCAGCCTTTCATCATCATGCGAAGTGTATGGCTTAAGTGCATCTTTATGCTTGAAATTTCCCTCTTCTCTGCTACGGACATTTAAACAGTCAAAGAATTTATCAAGTTGCAAACAAAATTCAGCAGTACCATGCATATCAGGGGAGTGGTATTCTTTCAGAATTTTTCCTGTGGTTTCACTCAGGACTTGGGCAGCCAGACGAACATTCATTACTGAATAGGAAGTCAACTGAGTGTGCTCACATGAGAGCTTTGGGCAAAGTTTAAGTCCATTTTCAGCATCATCATTAACAATTGTGCAGATATGCTGCCAGAGAAGATACTTGCCATCATTCCACATACATCTTGTGGACTTTCCAGTGCTAGAGTGGTACAGGCAGTTGCGAGCAGTTTTCATTAAGTGGGGAGCGTCTGCAAACAACCATATAAATCGGTCAGGAGCATACACATTCACAGTATGATAAACAACCGATTTCCCTGCATTTTTGTCCATTGCTGCATGCATACGGTAAAACTTGCGATTGGCAGACGCACCATCAGATGCTGTGACAATCACAGGTAGGCTACATGTAAGTTCTAGGATTGCAACTGCTTTCCAAAATAATGGCATGAGCTGGTAGGACTTAAGGCTCCCAGTTGCAAAATATGCAAGGTTGAATTTCAGATCACTGGCAATTCCCCAAATGTAAAAGTGCATGGCTTGCTAATTCTTCTAATGCATGGCTTGCTAATTCTTCAGCATCATCAAAGGCTGTGAAGTTGATATCTGGATCTCCTAAGTCTAAAAATCCAACTAAATCTCCAGTGTTCTTATTAAATACTAGTTTAGATTGCACTTTCATTTCATCAAAAGCCAAAACAACAAACCTCTGGATACCTGTCAGGGATTTAGTTGTTTGACAAAGTTCCTGTACCAGAGCAGGATTAAATCCAATGGATGGTGTAATGACATTTCGATAGTCCCGCAATGTCCTCCTACTAGGTAATGTAAGCACCTTTGAATTTCTCAGTTCCTCATACGCTGAGGCAGATTTGGCAGCCAATGACAGGCAGAACCGTATGATCATTGGATGATATCTGATTGCATTTGGACTCTTGGTAAATGCTTTCTTGCTGTTGTTGCCAGAATAACTTCATAAATGGAGTGCGTTTTTCTTTGTTACCACTCATAAGAGATCGAACATCTTGGGAAAATTCTGATTGCAGCACCACACCAGATTTTTGGATAGCTTGCCCCATTTTGGTCAATTCCCCTCGAGCTGTGTACACTTTAGCCGCTGCTGCTGTAGGGCTAATTTCAGACGATGAGGGTGAGTGGTGGAAACAGGAGCATTTGCTTTTGCTGCAACATTCTGTTTTGTAAGTTTTTTTTCAAAGCTTAAACAGTTGGTACATTTTGTAGTGTCAGTGCTGCTTGCATACAAGACAAGGCATTCTTTTGGTCTATGGTACATTACTAGTAGATGAAGCCCCCCATATGGCAAAATTTTCCCGCCATATGACGTCAGCATTTTTCCCGCCATAGGACGTCAGCGTTTTTAGGGATAAGAGTGACGTCATTTTTGGAACATTGTCGCATAACGTTTATCGCGTGATCTTTTGAGATGACGTCAGCAAGTATTTGTTGCATAACGTTATTGTAAAAAAGTATGATCCTTGTAAGCGAACCGGATTTAAGTTCGAACCGGATTTAATATACTGTATAAATTGAGGTCTTCGAGTTTACAAGAACGTAGTGTTTACACAGCTTTCGCAGAGAGAAGTTTGAAAGATTTGCTTTGATATATTGTTCACACAGAAAACTTTACTGACGTTTCGCGAGTGGTTTTTCTTAGTATAAAGACTTGCTGCTTTCAACTTTTAAAGGTATGTTGTTTAACAAACTATATAGGTAAACTTTTTGTATGTGAACTTAGGCAAAGCATTTTTTGTTTTATAGTTTTTACCGATAGAACCTTGCTGGATATTTGACGTTTCGCGATTTTTGTTTATAGTTATTCACAGATATTAACTGGTCAGAACTTTGCAGACGAGGTGTTCCTTTTCAACGTTAAAAGGTATTTAGGCAAAACAGTTTTGTTTATAGCTTTCATAAATAGAGCGTTTCGCGAGAAGTTTTGCTTTAACAGAGTCGATTTATCATGAAGTTATTGCAAGCAGTTGCCATAGCAACTTAGATTTTAGATGATTTTTTGAAAACAATACGGGACGATTTATACCTTTTTACTATAAAAGTTTTGGTTCTATACAGAGTTCTATAGTTTGTTAAAAGTATTAAGTTCCTTCATGGCTTGCTGTATGTCATAGAAAGGAAATAAACAAAGGTATTTTTATTTAGACATGGATTTCGCAGTTAAAATTGCCGAGTGTCAGACAATAGCTGAATTATCAACTTTGGAAAGGCTATATTTGTTGAATGAAGTGGAACAACGCATTCTTTTCGAGAGGAAATTGGAAATTTTTCGTCGAATAACAGAATGGAGAGTAGAAAATGAGCAGCTAGGCTTACAGCTGACTTTACAGACACCTGGACACCGGAACAACATGAAAGATTCATACGTGAATGGCAAAACGATGACCCCCTGTTGCAAATGGGCCGTGGCGAGAAACGATCATAGACATAGACGAAGTGAATGACAGTGCAACTGACGAGGTTAGCGATAACTTTTTTACCGTGACAAATATGAAACAAGTTAAAGTGAAAAAATTCAGCACGACAGGTGTGGATTATACAGTACAATTCACGGACACGTTTGCTCATTTGGAGCTTTCTCAGTTCCACGACCGTCTGCATGGAATATTTGAAAGTATGTTGAATACCATTACACGAGATATTCCAGAGCATGATCAAGTACGTTTTGTGTTGCATTCACCTCAGCTTGAAAAACCTATTTCTCTTCCTTTCATGGCTCTTTCTCGTTTGACAACAGAGCGGGTTTTAGCTCAAATTGAGCGTGTTATTCAATCCAACCATGAATTTCGTCTAAACGACAGTGTCAAAGTAAATTTGGTCCATGTTGAAATGCCCAACGGCGGTACCGGAACAAAACGCAGTGAAATAAATTTGGAAAAGCATTTGATCAATAAAAGGGCAATTGTTCGTATTCAGAACAAGGATGATTTATGTTTAGCTCGGGCTTTAGTTGTTTCGATTGCCAAAATTGAAAACGATAGCCGGTATAGAACTATAAGTGATTTTCGTTGTTCACTGCAAACACGTTTAGCTCATGATTTGCACGAAAAAGCAGGTGTTCCGATAGGTTCTTGCGGTATAGACCAAGTCAAACAATTTCAAGCGTATTTGACCGATTATCAAATCAACATTGTTTCAAAAGAGCATCAAAATTCTGTCATTTTTTCCGGACCTGATAAAGAGAAAAGGATCTATTTGTTTTTGCATGAGAATCATTTCGATGTGATTACAAGCATGCCGGCTTTTGTTGCTCGTAAAAAGTGTTGCCATACTTGTAAAAAAGGGTATGATCATCAAAGGGATCATTTATGCGGAGATACGTGTAAATTGTGCCATTTTCAAAATTGTCCGATTGTTTCGTGGATTTCATGTAGTGATTGTAACCGCCGTATTTTTAAAAGTCAAGAATGTTTCGATCGGCACAAACAAAACGTAGGAAATGCAAAATCGATCTGTTTGTCTACTGCCAAATGCCCTCATTGTAATCGTGCTTTCGAACGGACTCAACTGAGGCCTGATTTGCATCACTGCGGACTGAAGCGTTGCTCAACCTGTGAAAAATACGTGGGCATCGAGGACCACCAATGTTACATGCAACCTGTCAAGGAAAAACCTGCACGTGAGACTGGTTTATGTGATGACGAAGCGGATGAGGACGTCCACGAAAGCGGATACAACGAACTACTGTTCTTCGATTTTGAGTGCATCCAAGAGAATGGTAATCACGAACCGAACTTGTGCGTAATTCAAAACGAGGCTGGTGACGAAGTTTCAAGGAGATAATACCAGGAACGAGTTCTGTGAATGGCTGTTCACGAAAGAACATGAAGGATGTATTGTGGTGGCCCATAATTTTCAGGGCTACGATGGTTATTTCATCCAACAATACCTACACGAGAACGGTGTTATTCCTGAAGTCATTCTGCGTGGTGCCAAGATCCTTACATTGTATGTACCTATGCTCAAGATTAAATTCATCGATTCCTTGAGTTTCATACCAATGAGACTGGCTGATTTTCCCAAAACCTTTGGTTTGAACGAGCTGGCAAAAGGATATTTCCCTCACCTCTTCAACAGGAAGGAAAACCAGAATTATGTTGGACCCCTACCACCGAGTCCTTATTACCATCCCAATGGAATGAATCCGGCAGAGAAAGAGACGTTTTTGAAATGGCATCAGGAATTGAAGGAGAACAATTATGTGTTCAATTTCCAAGAAGAAATCCTGAGTTACTGTCGATCCGATGTGGATATCCTTCGACGTTGTTGCCTTGAATTTCGCGAGTTGTTCCGTGACGTCACCGACATTGACCCGTTCGAGAAATGCCTAACCATTGCGTCAGCGTGCAATCTCGTGTTTCGGACGAATTTCCTTAAAGAAAACACCATCGCCATTTTGCCTCCACACGGCTATCATCCAGGAATCAAGCAATCCAACATCGCCTTGAAATGGTTATCTTACACAGCCGAGAAGAATGACGTGTACATTCAACATAAACGGAATGGTGGCGAGAAGACTGTTGGTCAATATTCCTTGGATGGCTATGATGAGGAAACACATACAGCATATGAATTCCATGGCTGTTTCTGGCACGGTAAGTTTTTTAGAGGGTCAGTTTTTTACATAGGTACAGTACTTTAACGAAATATTTTTTTACAGGGTGTTTGAAATGTTATGCACGGGACACCGTCAACAAGGTCAGCGAAAAGACCATGCATGATCTCCATCAAGCCACCATGGAAAAGACCCAGTACCTTAAAGATCGTGGCCTCCATGTTGTCGAAATGTGGGAGTGCGACATGAAGAAAGAATTGGAACACGATGAAGACATGAAACAGTACTTCGAGGATTACGATGTGGTGGATCCTTTGGAACCACGACATGCTTTGTATGGTGGTCGAACCAACGCAACGAAACTCTTCCACAAATGCAAAGAGGATGAGAAGATAAGGTATGTTGTTAGTGCATCCCAATAGATCTAGGAACGGGAGTCTAATGTCCGTTTTTCTTACAGGTACGTCGACTTCACCAGTCTCTATCCCTGGTGTAACAAGATGACCAGAACGGTCATTGGTCGGCCTCGTATCATCACTGAAAACTTTGATGATATTACCACGTACTTTTGCTTGATCAAGTGCACGGTATTACCACCTCGTGGACTTTTCCATCCAGTCCTTCCCTATCGAACCCAAGGCAAACTGATGTTTCCTCTGTGCAAAGCCTGCGCTGATACGTGTAACCAAGCCCCTTGTACTCATTCCGAGCGTGAAAGAGCTATCCAAGGAACCTGGTGCAGCGTGGAATTAGAGAAAGCCCTGGAGAAAGGTTACCATATCCTCCAAATGCACGAAGTGTGGCATTTTCCCGGAACCTCCGACGCGCTGTTCAAGGATTATGTGGACACTTTCCTCAAAATCAAGCAAGAATCCAGTGGTTATCCCAAGAATTGTGTCACTGAGGAACAGAAACAGCAGTACGTCGACGAATACTTGGCAGTCGAAGGTATACAGCTAGACCGAGAAAAGATCGAACACAATCCTGGGATGCGTGCACTGTCCAAACTGATGCTGAATTCGTTTTGGGGTATGTATTTTTTAAACGGTAATGTTCTCGCAAGGACGGCGAGGTAAACTTATCTTTTACAGGTACTTATATTAGATTTTTTCCCTTAGGAAAATTCGCGCAACGGTCCAATATGGCCAAAGTAGAATTGATTAAAGATCCCCAAGTGTACTTCGACTATCTATCGTCGGATGAAATCAATGTTCTCGACGTGAGATTCGTAAGCGACGAAATGGTTGAGCTTCGTTACGAGTACAACGAGAACTTCGTCGAACCCAACGCCAGAACGAACGTAGTCATCGCCGCCTTTACCACCGCTTATGCCCGTCTCAAACTCTATGGGGTGTTGGATCAACTTCAAGAGCGAGTGTTATATTACGACACGGACTCTGTGATATTTGTTAGCAAACCCAACGAACCAGAACCTCCGCTAGGTCCTTACCTAGGCCAATTGACCAACGAATTGAAAGAAGGACATATTACTACCTTCATCTCAGGCGGTCCGAAGAATTACTGTTACAAGACTAGTACCAACAAGGTCGAGACGAAGATACGGGGGATTACCTTGAATTGTACCGCCATGCAAAAAGTGAATTTTGATGTCATTCGTTCGCTCGTGTATCTTCATGCCAAATGTAATGTTACGGGGCAAGTTACCGTGGACATACCGTTAAAGATAACGCGGAACACGAGGACCAAAAACATTGAAACCAACCGTATGAGAAAAGACTACAAAATAGTTTATGATAAACCCTTTATTGTAGATGATTACAAAACAATTACCTTATGGGTAGTAATAACAGTTGAAATAAGTATATTTACGAGATCGTTTGATCTCCATGTTAATTTCTGATGTTCAGTTTGTGATAATGATCCAAATTCACCCCCGTTTCTTTTTCCAATGCCTCGATCTGCTTTTCGTTTTTTCTAGCCATATGTCCCACATCAACATTTCTTACGCGTTCATATGGTAAGTAAAGGTGTTTCGCTGGGGGCCAGAGGTACCGATATACCCGTTAATGTTTCCAGTATGATTTGCGTCAATATGATAACGTGCAACGTCGGATTGTCTATAAGCGTTGCTGGTATGATATTCTTCTCTATCAAAAGTTTCATCAAATCCAGAGTAGCCAAATTTCCCTCTTGCGTAATAATTTTGTCCGAGAGCCAGTGAGTGACAATGTTTCTCCAAGTCATGTCTGCATTGAATGATCGTGAAATCAGGAAAGGTACTGAGCTTTTATAGATTTTGGTTACATAACAATATGTAATGCATTGACGGACTGTCCCATTGTGATGCGGTCCTCGGAAATGCATCCATGTTCGACGCATGCATACCACACTTTCTCAATAAAGTCTTGGTCTGTTATAATTGCCTTTAATATATGCCTGTTATAATTGCCATAATACGGTACTCCATGTCTTATTAGCTCCTTTTCGGAAAATTCCTCTAGAATCTTATCGTACAGGTTAGTAGCACACACGCTACAACGAAACACAAGTTCCTCATTAATGAAAAATAGTATAGCGATGGTCATCCTGACGCTGTCCAACGATAAATGAAATCTGTAGAGACATTGTGTCTTTTATAGGTTACAATAACTGAAAGATCACTTGTTTCAATGCCCACCTGTGCTCCACGCAAAAGATAGTTTTCCAATCGTCCGCCGTATACTCAATTAATTCGAAATCATATACTTTCGTATCGCTCAGACTTTCCGTAAAAGCTTTCATCACTTTTGTTTCCGAAGCCTTTTCCAGAGCATGATCGAAGTATAGACATAACCGTTCGTCTCTTTCCATCGTAAGACACTGATGATGCGTTTGAGACAGATGCTCTCTCATGCAACTGTTACAGTTTTTGACAACGAGCTGAGAGATGATAGAAGCGATTTCTTCAGCTGAAACTTTTAAAAGTTTCTTGACGATAAGTTTTTGACGTTGATAAAGAATGAATTCCTTATTGTCAATATCTATAGGTTTAGACATGTTTGCTCTTTGTCTGATCGAAAGTAATGACTGTTCCTTCCCAATGGAAAAAACGTTTTATATGTGCGTGCACCTTTAAAAATCTTCTCATATTCGAGTGTACGTCATGGGACACTCTGCCAGTAAAAATTCGAAGATTAACAAAAATCATAATAAACAGAAAATGTTTAGAATCGGTATAAGTGCAGGAAGAAACGATCTTAATCTCGAGGGGCATGTACAAGTGGGGTATTGTAGTAAAACTGTCAAAAATTACAATCCCATTGAAAAGACCCAGGAGAATAGTATTGAAAACGTTGAAGAATGAAAGGATTTTGTCATTTTACGTGTGAACATGGATGACTACTTATCTAGCATATATTACGATCCAAAACAACCCGGAGGATTTGGCGGTGCGGAACGTTTGTATGAAGACGTTAAAAAGGAAGGAAGATTTGCGCTAAGTCGTAAAGAAATTAGGGAATGGCTGATGAAACAAGATGCTTACACGATGCATAAACCCATGCGTCGCCATTTTAAACGAAACCGTGTCATCGTGGGAGGTATCGATCAACAGTGGCAAATGGATTTGGCGGATATGCAATCCATGCAGAAATTTAATGATGGATATCGTTATCTACTCGTGTGCATCGATGTTTTTTCCAAATATGCATGGGTAGTCCTACGCTGGTCGAAGCTTTCAAAGTCATTTTAACGTCTGGACACAAACCCGAAAAGATCATGTCAGATCAAGGAACAGAGTTTCTAAACAAACATTTCTGAGCGTTGATGAAAGAAGAAGACATCGAACTGTACAATACGTACAATGAAACGAAAGCTTCTATCGTGGAACATCTGATTCGTACTCTAAAAACCAAAATGTGGTGCTATTTTACAGCCAAGAAAACCATGTGATATGTAGACATGTTACCTGATCTGATCTATTCCTACAATTATAGTGTTCACCGTAGCATCAAGACAAAACCTGTGGATGTTACTGCTGAAAACGAGAAGAAAGTGTGACACACCCTGTATGATGATCATAACGTTGTGAAAAATGTAAAGTACAAATTCAAGGTCGGTGATCAAGTGAGAATTAGCAAGATGAAACGAACATTTGGAAAAGGATACTTGCCGAATTTCTCGAAAGAGATTTTTACAATAAGCAAACAAATACCACGTGATCCTCCAGTGTACAAACTAAAAGATCTGGACGGTGAAGAACTCAAAGGAACATTTTACGAAAAGGAGCTGCAAAAGATCATTAAGGAAGATGACGTCTACGAAATTGAAAAAAATTTTGAAGAAACGTGGACGAGGCAATAATGTACATTATCTTGTAAAATGGTTAGGGTACCCCAATAAATTTAACACGTGGGTACCCACTTCTGAAATAAATAAGATTTCAAGCGTTGAATGTGCTGTTCGTTTGTTATTCTCATCGGAAATTCATAATGAGCGGAACACACTTTTACCTCACGCTTCCGAGCAATGTGTCCCTGGACGTTTTTCCCGATAACAAAACGACCGAATATCGTGTAAATTTACCTCAACCCATTGATTTGGATGGCAATTGGGAAGTCGGACTGTATTCCATTTCTTATCCCTACACATGGTATACCCTGCGGGATATTAGTGCAGACACTCACTTCCTTTATTTGAGTTCTACCGATAGATGGATATCATCTGCGGCCATAAAGTACGGACATTACGAAACTATGGAAGAGTTCACTAAAGGTATGAACGATGCTCTGAAACAAGAGATCGGTAATAATACTGACATATATCGGACGTACAGTGCCTTAACGGGAAAAGTGACCGTTCACTTGAAACCCAAATGCAAACTTTTTTTATTCGACAAATTGTCCCTTATCCTGGGATTCGGTGGAAAAGAGGTAAAAATTGACAAAACGGGCAAAAGTCCTCATGTAGTCGATTTGAATATCTTTTCGACGATCTACACGTATTGCAATATCGTTCAACCGCAGATTGTTGGGGATACGAGTGCGCAATTACTTCAAAGCATTCCCGTCGAAGGAAAGTATGGCGATATTGTTACGAAAATGTTCACCAACATACAATACGTGCCTGTTCAAACGAAATCCTTCGGAGACGTGAAAATTCTTTTAAGGAACGACACGGGCGATCCAGTGCCATTTTAACGGGGAAAGGTGCTGACAACACTACATTTCAGACAGCATACATACTTCACTTGAGGAAGATGAATAATCCATACATACATTATTATTTGGATCAACAACAAGGGCGTGGCATGCCCGTGTTCAGGGGCAGCCCCTGGCAAGCCGGATATGGGCAACAGACAGGGTACGGCCTGGGGAGTCTGTTCCGCAGCGTGGCAAGAACAGTGATGCCCATGGTCAAAAGCGGACCGAAAGCTCTTGGAAACATCGCCCTAAGGAGTGTTGCCGATTTTGTGGGCGACGTTCTCGCTGGTAGAAACATAAAGGAAGCAGCAAAAGCACAAACTGTAGAGGCTGCCAATGTTGCAAAAAGAAAAGCCATCAATAAACTAAGGAGTCAAACGGGGAGAGGAAAACGGAAGCGCTCAAGAAGTGTAAAGCGTTCAAGAAGTGTAAAGCGAACAGCTAAAAAGAGAAGGACATCTACAGTCAGAGCAAGAAACGGAAAACAGTTAAAAAGAGAAAGGCATCGACATCTACATCCAGACCAAGAGACGGAAAACAGCTCAAGATATATTTGGTTAAAATCATGAATCTCGTACATTCCAAATCGCAGGAATGCACAAAAAGCGAACTCGATCTCTTCTCTGTGCCCCCAACACAGATCAGTTTAGAGAAAGGACATTGGGTAGATCATCAGCCCGTTTCCAATGTAGCCGATGGTGGTGTCATTACGTTCCTGTCTCCAGGCACTGAAGATTATGTGGACCTTGCTAGAACGATTCTCGTGGTGAGAGCGAAAGTGACAAAACCCGATGGTACGAATCTCGGCGCAAACGAAAAGGTATGGTATTTTTCATATTGAATACGGCGTTTTCAAATATTAATTTCCTTCTAATCTGTTTAAGGTTGGAGTGGTGAACAATTTCCTCCACAGCCTGTTCAAACAAGTGGATGTCTTTTTGAAAGGGAAGCAAGTCACACAGGCTACCGGAACCTACGCGTACCGTGCTTATTTGGAAACCCTCTTGAATTATGGCCCCTCTCCAAAAGATTCGCAGCTCACTGCTGCTTTGTATTACAAAGACACTGCAGGAAAAATGGATGTCGCAGACCCTACGGTGGCAGGTGGTAATGGCAACGCTGGTCTCAGAGCAAGATACGTTTTCAGCAAAGTAAGTGGAACTGTTGAAATGACAGGACCTATATTCAGCGACATATTCATGTCCGAACGTCTCCTGTTGAGTTACGTAGATCTGAAAGTTATTTTGAATCGAAGCAGCGACGAGTTCTGTTTGATGGCCTCCGAGGACGATGCCGATTACCGCGTGAAACTCACCGATGCCTATCTCAAGATACGTAAAGTGAAAGTCAATCCAAGCATTTCCGTGGCCCATGAAATTGCGTTGAAAAAAGGACCGGCCATCTATCCTATTCGGCGCGTCGAATGCAAGAGTTTCATAGTCCCCGCAGGGAATCCCTCCCTGAGGAAAGATGATAACCTTTTCAATGGACTGGTGCCGAAAACATTTGTCTTTGGATTGGTCGAAAGCGAAGCGTTCAATGGTGCTTTGAAAAAGAATCCCTACAATTTTCAACATTTCAGCGTGTCCTCCATTGGAATAACTGTGAACGGAGAAGAAATGCCATTTAAACCCTTGCAGCTTTCCTATGGTGCAGCACCTAAATACATCGAAGCATTCAGCACCCTGTTTTCTGGTACGAGGAAAATGTACTACAACACAGGAAACGATATTTCCCGAGAAGAATTTCCAGAAGGTTACGCCGTGTACGCCTTTGATTTAACACCGGACATGTGTGGAGGCCTCATTCCTCATCTCCTCATTTTAATGTGGTACAGAAAGGAAATTTGGCATTGATATCCAGTTCTCCACAGCACCTGCAGCCGCTGTGAGTCTCGTATGCTACGGAGAGTTCGAGAATACCGTGCACATCGATTCCGAAAGAAACGTTGTCTACGATTACTCCGGATGAATACTGCCCAGATAACCCATGCCTTGGAACAAGATCCCGTAACAAGCAAGAAGTTTTGTGGTGTGTTCCCTAGCGACAAGCTTCCTCAGACGATCAACAGATATCCGTGTGGATTCGTTGCGAACACAGACCCGAGCAGCAAGCCCGGTACCCACTGGGTCGCCTTCTACTTTCCATCGGAAGAGAAAGGAGAATTCTTTGACAGTTATGGACATGCACCAGAGTACTATAGGGAATCGTTTGGAGACTTTTTAAAGTCTCGCGCATGGGATTTTAATAGACGTAAATTGCAAAGTGCTTGGTCGGATGTATGTAGCCAGTATTGCATATTTTACCTTAGCCATAGAGCAAGAGGTCAGAGCATGAGTAATATCGTCCATTTATTTAACAATGATACGGTCTTCAATGATACAATAGTATCCCAGTTTGTTAAGAGACATTTTAAGGCATTGTTAAAACATTCTAATGTTAACCTTAATCAGTTCAGTAAAAAGATGTTTTCAATAAAATTGTTCTAAAAAACCATTGTGTTCTTTTTTATTCTGCGCATGCGCACAAACTCACGTCCCACATGCGAACCGTGCATAAAAATACCGCCCCAAAGAACTGACGTCAATACAAAAATGGTTTTAAAAACATTTTATTATTACATGCAAACAGTTACATGTTTTAATAAGGAAGCCATTGTTTTGGTTTCGCCGCCTGTCTTCTGAGTAAACCACAGATATATTTTGTGGGACTTGCACGTGGTGATGTTGGTGGCGGTGGTCTCGGTGGCGGTGTCTTAAAAATAACCTCTTCCGCGCCAGACGGACTGCTCATAACGACTAAGCACGTCCTCTGGGACCAATACCATGCGTTTCACATGCTTCATACTAACAAACTTCCAAGTACACTCAACACTGGTGGTAAGAGAGCTGACAATAAATTTCCACCTTTTTGATTAAGGCGTTGCTTTTTCCGTTTTCTTGACACTTTCTTACTGGCCAGATCGCGGAGGTGTGTCTTGTAACGCGCTAAACGTCGCTTTTGACAAGGTGATAATGGGATGACACCTTTAAGCAAATTCAAGGAACACTCACAGATAGCGGCGATGACCTCCGGGGGAACGTTGTTGATCATGAATTTACGTAGTCTAGGTCCGCATGTCCCCATGACCTGAAGATACGGTAGACTTCCTTTCATGCACTTCGACATCTTGAAAATGAACCGTTTTCAATACACGTTCAGCTTTTAAGCACGTTTCACATAAACAATCTGTTTCTCTTCGGGTAAAATGTTGGTCCTCAAACGCATGTTCTCTGGTGTCAGCTGATGGCAATCAATGACTAAATATCCATAAGGTCTGCTTGTCGCATCATGAAATGCATCCAAAAGGTATCCGGTATGTTTAGGAAACATCTGTCTGGCAAGTGTGGAAACACCAAGCGAGTCACGTGGGTTTCTAAACACGACGATAACGTGACTATTCAAACTAATCGTTCGAGAACGTTCGCCTGGCGGGAACAAATTCTGGGTAAGGTACAGCACGGACATGCCAAGGTGATGGGAATCACGTGTAAACAAATCTGAGACACGCGGGTCTCTGGGACAATGAGACATTAAGTCATCGAGCACGACTAACGAATTATCATGTCCGCGGGTCATCTCGCATAAATTATCGGGAAATCCTTCCACGAGAGTCAAATTAGGCATTGCTTGCAACATTTCTTCGAATTCCTTCTGATATATGCCGTAACAGTATATTATTTTGGTTGGCACGGGATTAAATAGTTCCTCTGCATGCCGTAACATAGAACGAACCAAATAAGACTTCCCGCTTTGAGACTGCCCACAAATATAAAAGATTGCTAGCGTTTTAAATCTCACGTCCATCGTGTTCACGTGCACAACACATACTGTGTTATTATCTGACGTGCTCGCCCGCTTTATAACCAAATCCGAGAAATCATTCTACGGAAAAAACTCTCTTCTTCAATTCGATATACACTAAGGTCAAAGCTTCTCAGAGGGGGCGCAGCCAGACGAACAGCGCTACGTGTAGTATCCTCGGAATTGTGCATCATATAAACTAGTGTCAGATAGGCCATAGCACGGCCAAAATTAGTCACGTTGATCGTGTTAAAAACAACATGCATTTCATTAGGATTAACATTCACCACCATTAGATCGTACGTTGCTTCGTGGTCCTCAAGTAAATAACTAATATAATGAGATAATGTTCTCATGTCAATATCAACGCCCCGTGTTTGCAATTCGTCCAGTATCACTTCCATTGCAACAAAACAACAAATGAATACAACTAGTGAAACCATTTATTTATATACAGCAAATTCATCTATATACAGCATATTAAATCCTATCTAAAAGTTCTACGTTAAGCTACAATTAGCTCGACGCACTAATACTATGTGAAACCATTTATTTATATACATCAAATTCATCTATATACAGCGTATTAAATCCTATCTAAAAGACCTACGTTAAGCTATAATTAGTTCTACGCACTAATACTATGTTTCCTAGCTACATTTAATTACATAACATTAAAAATTCACATGTGAATAAACATTTTCGTGGGAAATACAGAACAAGGTTTTATATTGTTAAAATGTTGTCCAAAATGTTCGTCCTTGTGCTGTTTGTGCTCGTAAAGTCATTGTCCGCATATCATTGTGCTGAGTTCAGAAGTTACCATTATTTAGACTGCTTGAGACTGGGTATTACGACCTTTCCCCTCTACGGAAAACAAATCTGGGTTGAAGTCCTCGACTTAAAATGGAACAATATATCCATCGTAAACCTTTCAACCATTATGGGCGACTTCCCTAATATTCGTCGTATAGATCTACGCCACAACCCCATCGACTGTACCCGACTGTTACGTGAAAGAGTACACATTGCTAGTGACTGTCCCCGTACCACAGATAAGTCCACAGCATCGGCCATTACATCGCCAGCACATTGTAAATCCATCTTCGTACTAAGCTAAACATACGTCCCTGAAACAGTTCGTAATACTAATGTGAAATACTATTAATTCTATACTGTTCATTCCAGCGTGCCTATGCATTCAAATAAGACCCATTTGAAACACGCTAAAATGTACAGCCCTGTTAAAACCGTATACGCAGCACATGCTAAGAGCTTCAGTGTATATCAGTACTCACAAATTGTACATATAGTTCCTTTATTTATATTTATATACATATAAGACCTATGATCATAAAAGCAATGTTTATATTTACAGTGCAGTGTGAGACATTGTTATTGTGCTTTCGCCACTCTCCGACCGCCCCAGTGACATTAGCTCGGTCCCAGAGTGCCCTTGCGTAGCAGCTGCACTTCTCTGCCGCCGTCCAGCCACACAGAGCCTATAGCTGTAAAACAGACCCAAAAGCAGCACTATTCCTATGGTCAGCCCGACAATAATAAGGTACAAATTAGGGGTCAAAGCCGAGATTCGGGTCGGAACCGTTGCGGGGGTCAGGACTACGGTTGAGGTTAGGGTTCGGGTGAGGGCCGGGGTTAAGATCCGGGATTGAACTGGGGTTCGGGGAGTGGCCGGGATCAAGGCGGGTGTTGAAACTATGGTCAGGGGTTGGATCAAGGTCTGGAACGTGGCCAGGGTTAGGGTTCCGGTGGGGGTTGGGGTTAGGATCAGGGACCGAATCAAGGTTCGGGGAGTGGTCGGGATCAAGGCGGGTGTTGAAACTATGGTCAGGGGTTGGATCAAGGTTTGGCACGCGGCAGGGGTTAGGGTTCCGGTGGGGGTCGGGGTTAGGACCACGGATCGAATCAAGGTCCGGGAAGTGGTCAGGATTAAGGTGGGGGTTGAAACCACGGTCAGGGGTCGGATCAAGGTCCGGGACGCGGCTGAGGTTAGGGTTCCGGTGGGGGTTGGGGGTAGGATCCGAGATTGAATCAAGGTCGAGAGCCGGATGAAGGTCCAGGATGCCACCGAGACTGAGGCTCCGATGGATGTTGAAACTAAAAGCCACGTTAAGGACCCCGTGGGGGTTGTGATTCGGATTAAAACCCGAGGTGCGGTGGGGTCCATGGTCTGGGGTGGGGATGTTCCAAGTTCGGGAAATATAACAAAAGGTCTGTTATATTTAAACTAATAAGACGGTTTTGCCTAAAGTCAATCCCCATAAGCCATTCTCCTCCTGTTCCCCGCGGCCCCTCGATGGTTTCCAGCGCTAAGCCCCTACAGTCCAAAAAACCAGCAAGACGCCGTTCCAGACAAAATGGGGTGCTTCCATGCACAAAAAGTAAAATGCAAAACACAACAGAAAACATCTCGTAGATCTGTTTAAATTGTGACTGAACTATCTCGTTTCATGCATGTGAATAAATATTAGTTTACATGAACAACTCGAAAGTTATGCATAAGCATGAGAACCACCGAATGTGTCTGAAAAACAATGTGCATCTCATTACACAGTGCTCAAACAGGTATTTGACATAATGGGATATTGTTGTTATGTTAACATCATTTTCCCGAAAGGTTATTGCATGAGCAAATGAACACACAGTGTAAAACGTTTCAAATATATATTCATAAATATGATAATACAAAACTCTTTAATTATACGTTAAATGTTTATATAAATGTTTCAGTTCTGCTGAGCATCCGGATAATAACGACTGTAAAACAATGGTACGAAAGGTGCCATGGTGTCAGGTTGTTTTGGCAATTCCTCAGGAACCCATTCAAAATAATCACACCGGTTTTCGTTGCAGCAACAGAAAAACTTTTTACCCGTATTGGGATCTTGTTTCTTGACTCGCTTCACGGCACACAGTTCGTTGTGATAGCAATTCGGTTTCTCGATTTCTTTCCCGTCTGCCCACATCCATAAGGAGCAAGGATTCTCCCGACTTGCACACGTAAAATACGGTCGTCCATAAGACTTTTTCAACATGTCTTTAACTACACGAAACTTCGCGGGCTTCCGGTGACTCTCACATATCGGTTGCGTCAAGCCTGTGGCTCTCCAAGCTGTCAGAGCTGTCTGGAACAGATAACCGTCCTCTTCTCTACATAGAAATCCACAGCTGGGCTTCTGTCCACAAAACCAAAAGGAACCCTTGTCTGTAGTTGAATTGGAAGCAACTTTTCCATGCAAACACTCCATCGCTATAACTTTAAAATAAAGCATTTTACTTCTTGCCTTTTATACAGAAACTCAACCCGCCAAATCATACATGTTATGCTACAAATGTTATGGAACGCTATGCGACATGTGTCACGTGAAAAAAAAGTTATGCGACAAATTTCACGTGATAGGTGCTATGCGACAACGCTATTAAAATTATATAAAGCGGATCGAATATTATATAAAGGTGGAATATATGAAAGAGACCTGTTATCTCGCCTTAACATTCCTGCGCTTGATTTACAAGATTATGGTTGTCCCAAGGCTGAAAAGCTCTTCGACCAGCTGGTCTGGCTCGAAACGTGCGAGAAACATACCGAAAACGCCGCCTACCAACACTGTGCCAAAGTGGAGGCCGAAGCATTTGCGATGTGGCTGAAGAAGACGCTGGACGCTTAAAGAAAAAAAAAACAAAAAACCGGTTCCGATAGGAACCATCAAAATAACAAAAGAATTGAAATGAATACTGTGATATTCATACTTAGCTTGCCCTAAAAAACTATCTCACAAACACTTACACACGTAAAAAATTTCCTTATAACTATTCAATTTACCTGCATAAAAATTCCCCTGCAAATAATTCACCTACATAAAAAATTATACACAATTTCGAACCGCTCATATTCTTTCATAGATTTGGTGGCTCTTAAAAGAGCCGTTTTTTTTCTTCTGTTTTTTCCCTTTTCTTCACTGTCGATTCTGTCCCCGCAAAATCTCCTCCAGAGCAATCGTGTCCTCCAGAAACGCCTCAGGATGGTCGCGGTACCTCGCTAACATTTCGAATATGGCCACAGCTTCAAAATTTACATCCATCATAACCCCATAGAGCTCGCGCAAATGCGCGAGCTCCCTATTCCTTTCCTCCTCCTGCTCCCTGCGCCTTGCCCGATACGCCTATGTCTCTCATTGTGCCTTTCACGTCTATCCATATCTGTCTTCTTTCCGTTCCTGCTTTCTTTCGCTCTTGCTTTCCCGCTCGTCGCCTCAGCTCTTTGCTTCTGCCCCAAAACGTCTCGTCACACACATATATGGATGCCGTCTTGGCGCCAAAAGTGCACAAAGCCCGCGCTGGCTTCCAAGATCAAGGTCACACTTACTAGGTCAGATCATAGGTGTTACGCGACAAAGGTCATGGAACGTTACGCTATGCTACAAGGTCATGGAACAAACGCTATGCTACATGGAACAAATGTGTTACGCGACAAATGTCTAAAAAGTATATATCTTAAACTTGTCAAAAAGCACGACAAACAGTTGTATACTGTCTCTGATGATGGCTGGTTCAATATTTCACTTACTGGAATCTACACTAAGAACGTAGCATGCGAGGTTCAAAAAATATGCAATGAACGCTGCTGTGGCTGTAAAGTATACGAACAGGATTGCCTAATGATGGATGAACACGAAACTTGGGCAATGCACGGGTTCAACGCTATAGAACAAGCTAACAAAACGTCCTCCACATGGAACGAATTCATGGCCGCTACCAAAATTCTAAACGTAGAAAATCATAAAGATTTCACACAGCACCTGATGTGTTTGCAAGAAGAACCGGATCAAAACTTTGTCTACACTTTACTACAAGTATATCGAGACAATCAACCATTACTACGTATTCTACAGGATTTATGGAATCCACAAACTGACCCCCTGGAATCCTATGCTCAATGTCATTTCAGCTCACCGCCAAGATACACCTATTATGTCAAAGGGACAAAGGAAACGTTCAAATCCCTCAAAACGGATCATAACAAAGCGTATCAGAAACATTTAGAAAATAAACTAAGAGAACAACTCAATAAATTGTAAAATCTTTGTTCTCAAAAAACATTAGTAGTTTTACAAAACATCCCTGTTAAAAAATCTTTTACAATTTTATAAATAAATAAATGTTTTTTACTAAAAGTGTCTTATGCACAATGTTCTTCGCTCCAATACATTAGGTAGTTCAAAATGGGTTCATAATCAGAAAAACTTCCTCTCAAATCCCCCAAAAAATCAAGTGTGACTTCACGATCTTTTATCAAGTTCGCATAATGTTCTTTCGCACGCTCGTAATATTCCAATTTCATCACTCGAATGGCTTCCAGAAACTGTTTCTTCACAATTCCACGCTCAATCACACGCTCCACTGCTTCCAAACCATGCAGTAACCATCCCTCCTCGCCTGACAACATAATACATTCGTGTCTCCTCTGACTCGGATGATCGACTTCACAGCCTGGACATTTCTCCTTCAATAATCTCCGAATTTCACAAACAACCGCTTCGAAAAACACAGCATTCATCAAATCACAAACATTCTTCACTTCATAAGATACTTCATCCACAACCAAATCGTTTGGCACCTCCTGAGAAATATTCATTGCTGCAAACATATCACATAAACTCTCCATTTTAAAATAAATATAAAACTCCCGTTTTTATACGTCCCGCTGACGCCATCTGAAAATTCCAAAAGATCACGCGATAAATGTTATGCGACAATACTTGCTGACGTCATCTCAAAAGGTCACGCGACAAATGTTACGCGACAATGTTCCAAAAATGACGTCACTCTTATCCCTAAAAAATGCTGACGTCCTATGGCGGGAAAAATGCTGACGTCATATGGCGGGAAAAATCTCGCTATATGGGGGGGCACATCTACTACCGACTTCAAGCGATGACGGGGATTATATATAATATATGAACCGCTTTTCACGCGAAAAACATTACTCTCTAATAAATTGTATAATATACTTTCTTCTAATATTCTCATGTGATAGATGTGTACATTCGGAGGAAATCGGTGCATATAGTTTTAGTTACCAAGATCAGTATGTTTACAGTGCTTTCATATTTCATACACTGATAAATAATAAAAAGATAATACCGGCGGATAAAATTAGCAACGCGTGCATGTCAATTTCAGTCGGCACATGCGTCAAGACTTTTGCTCTATGTTATAAAGCTAGCATAAATGCTGGCATATTTATAACTTAGTCTCTATCCAAAAAACAGCCATATTTGAAAGATAGTGAACAATTGTAGGTTTTTAACGCGAAAAATTTAAGTAAATGCGTTAACAAATTATAGCTTATAATTAGTCGAATTAGCGAAAATTGACTATATTCATGACGCGCTTGTCAGGTGAAAAAGACACTGCCCAAAGATTTTATTCTTTATTCTAGTAGATGTGTCATAATACTCAGTAGCTGCAATAGATTGGATACCTGATACCGTTGCACTTTTGAGAAAAAATAATTTACCGCCAGCATACTAGCACGAATATTTGACCGCTGTCTGAAAGACGTTTTTAAAAATACACAATATTTTGTTTGCTTCAATTGATCAGGATAACTTTTAGTTTAGGTTTATGCCTAGAAATTAGAATAAAAGCGCGAGATGAACTGTAAGATACAAAAAAGCTCAAATATCACTTGCGTAATTAACGTTTTAACTTGTTTTCAAATGCGTCCGAAAATAATTGCGAAAAATTTTTAAAACTGACTACAATTTCAAAGTCAACGTTTTTTGTTCATTTTATGAATAACTTCTTCCACACAGAAAGTTTGAAGGAAATCTGTAATCTTAAGAAATTCGAGTGGTCGGTTTTTACACGGACTGCCTCTTAAGCCCTGGGCTTATATACTTTCGTAAGCGATTTTTGATGGGCTTATTATACGGGGGGGGGGGTTATTATACAAGGGGGCTTATTATACAAGGGCGGGTGGGCTAATACATGGACGATCTTTTGTGTTAGTAATAAACAAGTCAGTCATAAACAGGAAAATAAACATGTATTAATAATACATTAACTATTGATTTGATTAAGGTTACAGGACACCCTTTTTGGCGTTTTGCGGAAAGTCGCTACTGCGCGCTCAATATCAGTCCGATTTTCATCAAATTTTCACCAAATGTTCTCCAGTGCATGCAAAATATGGTAAAGTTGTAAAATTGACAAACAATAAAATAATGTAAGAGTTATTCAGGAAAATCTTAAATCGCGGTACCTTTACGCTTTTGAGTTGTGCTCCTGCTGGTTTTAAGTTATATTTATGAAAATATCATTTTTATACAGTAAAATAGTTGTTCTAAAAAATCGTGTTCGGAAATTTTTGTTTATTTCGTCATGCCGCTGATATGGCGATTTCTTTGACGACTGCAATATATTTCTGAATTGTTTGAGTGAATTGCTCTTTATTTTTAAAATATCCAAAATTATATAAAAGCCGAACACAGTTTTGAAACTGACGTATTTAACTATGTGCTGTGAAAATTTGGGAAAAATTGGTTAAAACCCGCAGGAGCACAACTCGTTTGAAAATCAGTAATTACCGTAAAATTTTTCGTGAGAAAATTGAATTTGAATATTACATTTTCAATGTTTTTCTTATTGCAGCGAAATGTATTTTACTAAATAACTCTGCGAGTTTTCAACATTTTTCGTTCAAACTTGGTCGGATAGTAGAACTAGTCTAATGCTTTCATTGAAACCAATAAAATTTTTTTAGGCAAAATTAACACTCAAAGGTGTTCTGTAACCTTAACATAGTCGGCTACAAAGATAATGACAATGTTTTTAAATATCGCTTTCTGCTATATTAAAAGACAATGTCAATGTCGAATAACGTAGTGGCGGGTTTTTTTCCGGACTTTCTCTTGGGTCCGTTTTTGCAGAGAATATTGAGTTTAGCTGAACAACTGGGGTGGCCGCACCCCTTACCGGGGGAGGGGGGCTGACACCTGTACTCAATAAATGTAGTTGAGACGCAATGTGTTATTAAAAGCAGGCCGCACTAAGGGACACTATACATAAACTGGTTAAAGAATGCGAATTTATAGTTTTTCTTGTGTTGTGAGATCAATTCCAGCCATTTTTTCCTGATTGTCGGGTTTCCAACTGAAAACTAATTTCCACACGTCACGAATATAACACAAACAACTTCATTTTTACTGCAATGAAACTTTGGTGAGAAGGTTTTTACGGCCCTAAAAAATACCTGAAAAAACCCCTAAGTGGGCTACTGGGCTTATATTCGGGGGAATTATATTTGGGGGACTTATATTCAGGAGGGCTTATATTTGGAATGAGGTAAGCATTAGTATATGTGATGGGCTTATATTCGGGGGGAGGGGCTTATAGTCGGAGGTTTACGGTATGTATCCTCAGAAACAACTTCAGCATATATTCCACAGGAAGTGTTAGGCGATATTGGAATGTGATGGATATGCCATTGAGTAGCTGAAGCAGCTCACCACCAACTTGTATAAACTGAAAAGTTTTTCACAAAGCTGTCCTCCAGGTGCAAAATATAGTCAAGGAAACACTGCATGTGTAATCAGGGGCGTAGGAAGCACCTGGAGTTTGGGGGGGGGGCACCGGCTTGTTGGGGCACATTACTATCGGAAAGGGCACCTAAAAAATTTTTCCCGGAAATGTTGTCGACGGGGGGGGGGGAGAAATTTCTCCTGAGGAAAATTTTCCGTCGTATCATACCGAAATTTATGTTTGTGACCTAATTTTTAAAAAAAATTTGTAAATTTCCACACAAAAACGGCACCTATTGTTTTAATTTAGTATTTACATCGACATTAGCTTCTACAAAAGGGGCACTTTTCCTCACAAAAAAGGGCACTTTTCAACACAAAAAGGGCACTTTTTATCACAAAAAAGGGCACTTTTAGTCCTTTAAAAAAATTTGGGGGCACGTGCCCCCCGTGCCCCCCGCTTCCTACGCCCCTGTGTGTAATCCTCCAGAAGCATTGCTGCTGGTATCCAAATTATTCAACTCCAAAGTTTCTTTACATCAGGATCAACATAGTCAGTATGCCTTTGATAAATAACTGCAGTACATCATGCATTGAAAGAAAGATGCAACAAAGTTCTCTTATTTAAAATATATAAATGTATAAAGAAACTTTGGGGTTGAAGAATTTGGCAGCATTGCTTCTGGAGGATTACACATGCAGTGTTTCCACGCATGCAGTTTATACAAAATCCACAACAGTTGGTGGTGAGCTGCTGAAGCTCCTTAATCGCATATCCATCACATTCCAGCACCGCCTAACATTTCCTGTGGAATATATGCTGAAGTTGTTTCTGAGGATATATTATACAATCAAGTTTGGGAACAGGAACTTTGCATCTAAAAATGAAAACAGAAAATACATCAAAGTAACCCACTTATAAACCACAACATTTATGTAAATATACTTTCGAGAAACTACAATCCTGGACAAAACATCTGCGACACTTCCAATTACTTGACAAAATGTCGTAATATTATCGTAAATTTAGAAAACCTCCCCCTTTCCCCCACCATTCAATGTTGACTGCATTCGTAGAATACGGATAAGACGTCCAACATTGTTTTGGGGGGTGGAAGGGGGCAAACGAGAAATTATTCCGGTCTAACTGGTAAAAAAAAACCACAAAGGAATGTTTTAATAGAGTGTCGCACATGGTTTTGTCCAGGATTGTAGGTGGTAAAGGCCAAGATTATTATTTACCATATATAAAAAACATCAGTTCAACATTAAACATATCAAGACCAAGATTTAACACTGATATTTAAAAAGATTTTATAATTATTGCCATTGAACAGAACGGTGTATTTGTCAGCAGTCATATTGTTTATACTGTTGTATATAGCACACGATTTTATCACAAAATTGTGTAAAAATAACTCCAAGAAAGAACAGGATATAAACGTAAATAGTCCGGGAAAGTTTATATATCTAACCACATTTTTTTAGATATCCAACATATCATTCATTTGCATGAACAGTTCCATGTTTTTTAATAGCACTTTTAATATATG